ACTTTTTACATAAAAAAATATTCCCTATTAAACAATTTATAAAGATATTAATTTATTGACCTCGTGTTATCACATTTTGTATTAAGTTTCTTTATTTTTTTATTTATAGAAGCAAAAATATTAACCTTATGTTTGATGATGAATTTTCTGAAAATTATTTTTTTATAAAAATTTAAAAAGTTTTATGATAAAAGTTGTTATTTGAATAAAAAAATAAAAAATATAAATGTTGATATATATATATATATATATATATATATATATATTTAAAGTAATTCAATTATTTAAATTAAATTAATTTTAAATTTCACATAAAAATTAAAAATTAAAAAAATCATATTTAAGTTGGTTAAGATTTTTATTTTCCAATGTGTGGTTGGAAAAAAAATTCCCCAGCATTCAAGTTAGTATTAAATAGCGATAAAAAAAATTAAAAAATAACTTAAATCTATGTCATGATTAACCTGTTAGAAACTATGAATTTCTTATACACTACCTAATTCATTATATATACTGTAATATTATATAGTGATATTTTGAATTGTGAATTGATTATATAGATCGTTTATCAATACTTTTAATTGATTATTGTTATTAAAATTCTTAAGATATAATTTATTTAAAATGTTGTGAATTTCATATATTTTTCATTAGATCAATATAAACAACCCAAGTTCGTAATTGATTGGCTATATTTAATACTGACATGAGGTTTTAATGATTTATTTAACAAAATTTAAAAGAAGGGGAGTCTTTTCATTAAGAAAAATATTAACAACTAACATATATATATATATATATATATATATATATATATATATATAATCAACTTTAAATTTCTACAATTTCTTAAAAATTGAATATTCGAATATTTAATATTTTTGTTTATTTATTTTTTAAAAAGGAAAATATTAAACTCAGAATAGAAAGTAAACCTTCATAAACAATATTTTGATAATTATATAATCTGCATAAGAAAATAGCAAAATCACTTATATTTTTGTAGCCATAATATGTGTGCGATTTTTCCATCGTTTTAAAAAAAAACATGGTCGAAGTGATTAACACTTAAAAGATAAATTAATGTTTAAAAAAATACTTTTTTTATTTTATTTATAAATATACTTTTTCAAGGTAAATAAAACATATTTAATAAGATGAAGAAAATACAAATTGTTATTGAGAATGTTACTGTTTTATTAGCTATAAAATATATAAATTAGTCATTTATATTAATTTTCAATATCTTATATTTTGAATTTTTATAATTATATTAATTTTTTTTATCCTAAGTGCAATTTTATTTTTCTTAATACAATTTGCTGTATTTCATCAAAACTCAAGCATTAAGATTGATTTAATTTAAATTTAGGTATATATTTTAAATGTTACGAGACTGTAAACTAATGTTATTATTTTAGGATTTTATTAAAAAAATAATGATATTATATTTAGTTATGATAGTGTATTATTCAATTAGTTATTAATATAGATTAGACTATACTCAACCGTAAATAAATTATTTTATTGATTTAACGATCGAAATTGATTTTAATAAATTTTTCTCCTTCTTTCCATTGAACCTATTTTTGTTTTTCTTTTTAGGGTCTAAATCTCAATACGCTATATGAAATTTAAGATAATTTTGTAACATCCTTAACAAGCTTTAATATATTTTTCATGTATTTGAAAAAAAAATACATTAATTATATACAAGTTTAGTTTATACTTCAACGAGAAAACACCGCTTACAAAGACTCGAAATTTCTAAACAAAAAACATTGTAAATGCTAACTCCAAATATTTAAGAAACCAAATGTATGTAAACAAAAAAGTTGGTCCCAAAACATTCTAGAATAGGATGATGCGAGAATGGACTGAATTTGTGATAGATATTTAGAAAAAGAAAGTTTTATTTAGCGTAATATTATAAAGTAACGTGTATGAGTAGGGATGATGAACACAATCCTTTTTTGTCATGTACTGGTATTTGTCCTCTTGATATTCACTGTCGTGTATGAGTGTCTAAATTGCGACCTTTCTCTATTCTATAATGATTTGGTCAAAAGCACAAAACAGAGACACTTGTGGAATTGAGGGCTTGCTAACGAATGCAATGTACTGAAAGGATTTGGGTTTTAATTCATTCAACCCTCGATTATCTGAGATAAAGCCAACTTTATGTGTCTGTGTGCGTGTTCCTGTGCATTTATTTATAGTGAGTGGCGAACCTAAAATATTGTTGAGACCAGAATTGGTAATGCAACAGAAGAGACAGAACAAAAGATGAGGTGAGAATTTGGAAAATTGCGGTTTTGTTGGAACACTGGTTTTTCCAATTTTGAGCAGGTACATTGTAATCAATCAAATTTAGTCCAATGAATAAAGCTGCGCTGTTCATAAAAAGGATAAGGAGTTGTTGCGGTCCTTCTGTCGCGGTTCTGCTTTTGATTAGATACTGTATATACATAAAGACAAAAGCCTCTCTCAACTCAAACACTCCATAATATTCAATTGCCTGCTTCACGTCCCAACACCATTTCACAAATAATATGCTTTTCTTTTTTAATCGACAAAATGGTGATAATAAAATTTGAATTTATAATTTTATATAAATTATTTGATTCTTCGTTACTCCCAAAACTCTCCTATTCTATTTTCTATTTTCACATTAAATAATAGACCCTTGCGTAAGATTAAATAGTTTATTCTTATATTTATTTTAAAACTAATATGTATGATGTATCCGTCACCCTCATAAATAATTGAGATCCAATAAAGACATCACTTACATCATCCGTGGGTAGAAATTCGTGCGTTCATAAATCAAATAGGAAGTTGGTGGACATAACTACCATACCCATACTTTTCAAACAAACTTCAATTATTTTACATTACCAAAATATTATTTTTCTTCCTTCGCTCAAAAACTAATTCTTCAATATACTCAGATTTATTTAAGAACTTTACCTCTTTATAATTAAAAGTTATAATTAAAAAAAAAAACAAACGGATTCATTAGTTTAGATTTTTATAAGTGTGATTGAAATTCATGAGAGGTAGAAAAAAAAAGAATAATATACAGAATTTATAAATTATTATTATTATTACAAACTTCTCTTAATTAAAGTGTAAACAAATTCAATTATGTATGTTAATGAATGGTAAACATCTAGATGTGCATGTGTTATAATAATTATTGTAAAGAATGGTAAGACGAAGTCTGCCAGCCCGTTAATGGATGAGTTTAAAAAAATATTTATATGTTAAACAAAATTATAATTATAAATATTATATTTTTTAATATTATTAAAATATATAAATATATTATAATATTATAATTTAAATTATAAAAATTAATCAATTAAATTTAAATAATTTATTATAATTAATTATTTTAACACATAAATATATTATTTTTTAAATTTATCTATCAAAAATTTATTATATATATATATAATAAATTACGGTAAAATTATATAGACAATAATTTTTAGTTAGTTATGGTGTACAAGTCTTTATACCAGAAATTGCAAAGTCTTGAAACTCTTGAAGTTTTATTCAAAGTTATATCTCACTAAAGAAAATTGCTTCTTCGGATATACGAAAGTGTTCTACTAACCCAACTGCGTGTAGCCCAATTAGCTACAAAACGATCCATTTGTTAAGTAAAGCCCACTAAAGAAAGAAACTTCTTCTTAATAATTTCTAAGGCCCATTAATAATGCTACGATATTAATCGCCTGTGTGGATTTTTGGCAAAGTGAGCTTATGATCGTGATTAATATTCCACCATTTATATTCAAATTGGAAGATATGATGTGAAAATAGTTCAAAATATAAAATCATAATTATAACCTATTTCTACTATCATATACTACAATTTTAGTATGGTTTTACTTTTTTGTTTTCTGGATCTCTAAATAATGTTTTCTACTCGAGAGGTAAATTTAGATTTAATTAAAACTGTAAACATCAAACCTACAAGTTTTTATATGTATAATATTCTCCTATTTGTTTGAATGTTGAAGATCACGAAGCTTGGGTTTGGGATTTTAATTATGACATGTTAGAGGTTGGTTCAATTTGTTTGTTACTGAACTCATACAAAATCATTAAGTACACTTAATTGTGTATATGAGACAAGACACCATCTATACAACGTATTCACAAATTTTACTAATGTTAGGGAATTTGATTAAAATCTTTTAAGAGTGTACTTTTTATTTATTTTGTTGTTACATTCACAATATTCAAGTGTGAAACCTTATTTAAAATATTCAAATTCGATTTTATTTGAACTAATAATACGTGGATACAATTTAATTGTGAATAACCATGTTTTTTTACTTAAGCTAACATTTTCACTTTTACTTTCTCTGGAAGGTGGAATCCTCCCACCTTAATGTATTCATTATATAAAAACTATTTTACTGTAATTTATTTTCTGCCAGTTTTATCAAAATAAATTTTAAAAAATGACGTGTTTTTAACATTATGGTATATTTTTGTTGATGTTTTCAACATTAGATAAAATTAATCGATTCCATTATCTAATTGAGAGCCATGTTATAATATTTTTGTGAACCCGAGTAAGTATTTTTTTTTTCGAAATAAAGAAACCAACCTAAAATTGGTAAAAATCAATAATAAAATTGAAAAATGAGTTTTTATATAATATTTATTTTTATTTATTATATAATTTATCATACATAAGATAGTCCAACTATAACGCAGCTGGTACATGGTAAATAACTGTTTTCACCCATTTAATTACCAATTTGGTTTTGAAAACGTTAGTTCTAAGTTTTTTTTTTTAATTCGAAAAAAGAAAGAAAAATTGGGTGTGTATGGGTCGGGAGTGCGCAGTACGCACAGTGTGTAACAGCTGCCTGGCCAGTAACGATTGAATATTGAAGGGTTGAAACGCTGAAGTGGAGTTGTACATTGTTGAGTCAATTGAAGTCTAAGAAAAGAGAGGGCGAAGAAAGAGATCAGAAATGGCGTCCAAAGCTCCAAAGAAGGCCAATCTCTTGGATCACCACTCCATCAAGCACATCCTCGACGAGTCTGTCTCTGAGGTCTGTAAAAACCTAAACCCCCTTTTCGATCCCTTCCACTTTCAAATCTTTTTTTCCTCTCAATTCGTATTCTGTGTTCGCTAATTCGACTTGAACCTGGTCGAATTTCGGGTTGGTGTAGGTGGTAACGAGTCGTGGGTATGTGGAAGACGTCAGATTGAGCAATGTGAGGCTTTTCATTGGGGCCATCATCATCGTCATTGCTCTCTTTGCCCAGTTCTACAAGAAGAAGTTCCCTGAAAATAGGGATTTTCTCTTTGCCTGCATCGCCTTATATCCTTACTCTACCATTTTGTGTTTGTTTGTTTTATTTTTGGTTTGCATGATATAACTGGATGTGGAGACATCTAAAATTAATATTATTTGGAACTGCTGTTTTTATCTTCTTTTTTTTGTTGGGTGGGGGTTCTGATTAGGGTATTGGAAAGCTAAACATGTAGGCAAGGTTTTAGGGGTTGCGGTTTCGTTGCAATTCATGACATTGCAGCTAAATGTGGACAGATGCAGCCGCAATTTTGGTTGCAGATTCCAAAAAATGTTGATATTGCGGCTGAAATTACTGTCTCGAATAATCTTTTAAAACCTTGCATCTGGGATTCTATGTCTTTTTCGATGTGGCTGGGATGCTAGAATCGTTTAATTGAACGGTATTGATATTCCTCGATGAATGAGTTTGGTGCTTTGCCTGAAAGGGGAAATGTGATTGCTGATGTTTATAGCTTTTATTCTTGTGCTTCCTTGTTGTTTGATCCTTAACCCTTTCGCACATATGTGATCTTCAATGGGGTGTTGCAGCTGATCGTATACACTAGGGAGAAAAATGCCATTCTGTTCACTTATCCTCCTGTTGTAAGTTTAAGCTAACTTAGCCGTGGCTCTTGACTTTGATGCTAGAGTTTTTGTTTACATATGGAGAATAGATGCTGTGTTTTACTAATTGCATTGTGTTGGTCCTTCTGGATGATGGATGATTCAAATTTCATCTTCCACCCTCCATGGGTTGGTCAATAGCAAAGTATCAGTCCCATGGTGTTGGATTTGGAGATTGTACGTGTGTATAACCTATATTGCTCACTAATTTGCATAATGTTGAACATTATCTATTAGAATATGTGGGGATGTTTTGACAGGTTGATTTTGATTATGAAACTTATATATAGACTTATTTGATATACATTTGTTCTTCATCTTTTAATGGTATATTCAAATTGTAAAAGAGGAACAATTTCTAGGCGTTCTACGGCTCCTTGTTCTGTGTAACGATTACATTTTGGTTTCATCTAACCATTTCAACTCACTTTCCGATATGGAGAGAGAACATTTAAGATTTATATGATACGATGCCTAGTTTGTTTTTGTATTTGTATGTGTGAAAGACGGAGAGAGGAATCTCTCTTTTTTATTATTGTTTAAATTGGCAATTTTTTTTGTTTCTATAATGAGAGTAGAGGCACTGAAACTATAGTCTGTTTACCTTTTTTAAAATTGTGCCAATATATGCAGTAGAGATCCGTCCAATAACTTGAGCATGACTGTTTTCGCTTAATAATCATCATAGACACTAAGCAGATCGCTTGTGTATTAAATGGGTCACACATCAACTCATCATGATCAATTATCAATAGTTCAGTGTAGCACTGTGGTCTGTGCAGAGCAGCCATGAACCACTACCCGGTTTGAGTAGCTGTGTGTTTTTAATAGCTTCCGTGGCAGGTGCAATGGAAACCAAAATGGTGTCCGTAATGGTAGCTAGTAGCTAGAATGAGGCTTTTCAAAAAGCAATTTTTGCCTTCAAAAGAACGATGTATTTTTGTTTTAGGAGGGGGAGCAACGTAGTTGATATTTAACTCTCAACCTTCTTTTTTCTTTTCTCTAAACACCTATCCTCACTTTTTGTTGAATGTTTAAGATGTTTTGAGATATGAATGTCTTTAAAATTTGTTTCTTTCTTTGACTTTTATTTTATTTGCTTGTTTGTTTTGATTAAACGCCGTGACCTTTTACTGTAAATTAGGAACATGTCGTGAACTTGAGTAATTTTGAGCATTTATGTGTGAATTATAAAATATTTAGTCCGTATATTAAAATTAGCCATTCCACTACGTACTATACTGCTATGGCATTTTGGGTTTGGCTGCTACATGTCACCATCCTAGATTGATGAACTAATGCATTGAGTTAATGAATATAGATGAAAAAAACTAATATCAGTTTGACTAGCTATTAATATGTATTGGATATAGTAGTTTTGTGAAATGGTTGCAGTGAATGAACTTTAATTTGTGCTGGTATAGTTATATTCCATTCTCTTTATCCGTCAATTATTGAATTTCAACTTAAGTTGCGTGAAAGTTGAAACAGGATAATTTTTCACACCCATTGGGTTGAACCAGATTAAATTAATGCATAGACCATGACACATTTATTTAGGCTGGAAGTTTAATCCAGGTAGTGCCTACATCTTTGTTATTTTGAACTCTGAGATATGTCATCTGCAATCTGAATTGACCCATAACTTTCATATTTCACAAATGATTTAGAGGTGTAAGTCATGATATGTTACTAGTTGATTACTTGGTGAATGTTATATTTTTAGGTTTTTCATGAGCTAAGGATGTTGATGCTTTATTATTTATTTATTTATTTATTAATGGGATATGTTACATTTCATTCATCTAAATAAATTTCGGCTTGTCATTTAACTCTATCATCAAACCAAATAATGCCATTTTATTTTAGCCTCAGTAGAAGCCCATAAATACTATAATTATGATAATCACATTCCAACTTAGATTTCCCCTTTTTTTACTACAGGGATCCTTTACCAGTACTGGTTTGGTGGTTTCCTCCAAATTACCTAGATTTTCTGACTTGTACACAGTCACTATAGCAAGCGCAGATCCAAAATCAATTTCTGCAAATGAACCAGTACATTTTACCAAAAGTGTTACTGAGTGGTATACCTCTTTATCTCTCTTTTCATCCATTAACTTCTTGGACTGCTTTTTGGAGATCAGACTGCATCAGTCTATTTTTGTTTGGATTTCAGGTTCACCAAGGACGGAATCTTAGTTGAGGGCCTCTTCTGGAAGGATATTGAAGCTTTGATAGTTAAATATACCAAAGAACCAAAGAAGAGCAAGTAGTATGGATACATGAACTTTAGTTATGCGGATAACTTTTTGAATGAGAAACATATATATCTGGATATGTTTTATAATTCAATACTTAGACATTTAAAATAGAACGGGAATTGAGCTTTCACCAGCTTTAGGGCACATTTTGTTCCCATATTTCGGCAGCTTATTCTTAGAAAAAGGTTCAAACTTTATTTTCATTTAATATCCTAAATAACAATTAATGGTTCTCTTACACTCCTTTATACTTCTGCCATCCGTCACTGGGAGAAAGAAAAGTTACATTTTTAAGGAAGAAAACACTGAACACTTAATGATGTGTTTTTTTATTTTATTTTATTACGGTAACTTCTGTTGGTATGTTTTGATTAATAATTACAAATGTGACATATTTGTTACTTAACTTTTTTCAATAATTGGAAAAATAATTATAAACATAAAATTGTTTACAATACGCTTCATAATTCGGCAGACCCCTCGTTCTATGCTTGTTGTGTGGCTATTGTTGTCATCCCTCGCGCCACAAAGGAAGTGTGATGTTGTGGTTTATACAATTCGTTCTTGAGGTAATTGTTGTAGGTTGACTTTAATTAAGACATGCATCAATAACAAGTAATTCACAAAATTTAATCGTAGTTGAATTAGGCAGGCTAACTGTATTTTATTTCTATCTTCTTTTTCTCATGACATATGTGTGCTTTTTTACTTTTAGTAGGGTGTAATCTTGAACTAATTTTCTAACATCAAGCTACATTATAAATTGAGAGGTTACAACCCCACTGAGGCAGAACTGTTTTTCCATCTTTTTAATAAATTAATAATTATAAGGCATGTATAGGTTTGACCAAATGATTGCTTCCAAAGGACTTTTGTCATACGTAATACCCAGGGCCAGAAAATATTATGGCAAAAAAATGATAACTGAATGAATTATTCGTAAAGTAATTGGAATCCATATAATGTAAAATACACATCATCTTTTTTAAGTGTATTAGAAGTTTATTAAGATTCTTTTTTAACTTTTTCAATTCATTTATTAAGATTAAATTGTAAATGCACGAGAATCAATTCTCAATTCATTCTCTTCCACCATTTTCAATTCATTTTTTAAGATTAATTTGTACATACACCAGGAACAATTCCTTTTTAGCAAGAATATGTTTTCAAATAATTTATTAATATTAAATTATACATATATTTAATGCATTTAATTACTATTATTAAATAATAAGTTATGTTTGCTATATATATATATATATATATATATATATATATATATATATATATATATCTTTAATATTAATATATTAATAGGCAGAATGCATTCTCATCTAGTTAAAATATAATTAATTCTCTTTCTTAAATCATTTATCAATATTAACAACCAATCAATTCTTACTTTTATAAAAATTAATTATCCTTTGTTTTTAATTTTTTTATTAATATTAAATTATGCTTATATTTAATTATTATTATTAAATAATATATATAATATGAATAGTATTATTAATATATTAATAGACAAAATACATTCTCACCCAGTAAAGGAGAATTAATTATCTTTCTCAAATCATTTATTAGTATTAATAAAAAACTGATTCTTAATTTTTTTAGAATCAATATTTCTTTATTCTTAAATTTTTTATTAATATTAAATTATACTTATATTTAATTATTATTATTAAATAATAATTTGAGTTTTTTATATATGTATTTAGTATTAATAATATTATTAATATTAATAAACTTTTAATTTATTAATATATTAATGATAAATTAATAATTTATAATTATCAATTATTTAAAACATTTTATAATATATAAATATTTGATATGAAGTTAATTATAATATAATTATAAATTTTAATGAAAAGAATATATAAATTAAATAATAAAAAAATCAATAATCTCAATATTAATAATATTGTAAATATTAATTTTAATTTCAGAAAATATCAATAATAATAATAATAATGATATATTATTATTGGTGTATTAATATTTTAAACAAAATAATAAAAAAACTAGATGAAATAATAATACATAAATAAATAAAAATAAAAATTTATTATTTTTATAATGTATTTAGTTTTATATTTTTTTCATTTTATACAATTATTTTTATATGAAATCTACTGTAATAATTATTTTAAAAATTATAATAAGATGATTTTAGTTATTAGTTTACAATAATTTTAATGTGAAACAATATAAAAAAATAACGGTAAACAAATTTTTAAAACCTTTCTATTTTAAATAATAACTCAAATTTCATTTTAAAATAATTGACCTAAATTATATTTTATTTTAAATTATACTTTTAAAATAAAAAGAAAACTATAATCTTACAATCTTATCAATTAAAACATTTTTTTAATCAATCAAACTAATAACATCACTTACAAATTTTCATAAACATTTCTTTTATTTTTCTTTATTTCTTATTAACTTACTCTTTCTCTCATCCAAACAATTCTATTTTTAATTCTCTTTTCTTTCAAATCCACCTATTTACACTCTTTAACATCCATATATTTTATTATAATTAAAATCATGTTAAATAATATTAATTATATCCAATATAAAAAAATATGTAAATTGTTTACATTTAATATTATATACTGATTATTTATATAAAAATTGACTATTATATATATATATATATATATATATATATATATATATTAATTTTATGATACAATTTAATTATAATTTTAGATGTATGAAATTAAAACACCGTGAAAATAGTTTTTTTTTCTTTTTATTTTTAAATTTAATAAGTAACTTTTAGAACTAAAAAAAGATTTTAATCATTTTATTGATTTTAATAAAAAATATTAATATTTCATTTAGATATAAAAACTATTAAAATTATATTTAATTTTTTTATTAATTTTATTAAAATAAAAATTCATAAATAAATATTACATTTTTAAAGTATAAAAGAATAAAATTTCTTCTTTCTAAAATTAGATTATGAATTTAAAATATTATATTTATTAAAAATCAATAAATTTTAAAAAACAGAAAATAATTTTAAAGTTAATATAATAATCACTTAAATTAAATTTTATCAAGTTTAATTTACAAATAAATGTAATTTTTTAATAATTACACATTTAATTGTACTTAATTTATATATTTTATTCTATAAATATAGGTCATTATCCTAAAAATTAGTATTTTTTATCCAATATTCAATTGCGTCAATCACATCTTCTACGCTAAATTTACTCAAATTCATTTAAATTTACTGTCTTTCTCCGAATTTAAATAATCTTATAAATTCACTTAAATCTTATTAAATCCTCCTCCAAATTCAAATACATGCTTAAACAATTTTATTTTATTTTTAAGTGGGTTCTTTTTATCTAATATCACGTAGAAGTATTTCTCTTTTTAAATTAAAATATAGACATTATGTACAAACAAAATAAATATGAGTTGTATAAATACTTTTAATGTGAGGTATAAAATTATCTAATTATTTTATAAATATATATATATATATATATATATATATATATATATATTATTAATTTGAGTAAGATCAGTATATTTGATAGAGTGAGATTGTATTATATAATTTTAGCTGTAATAAGTTTAATATTCATTATGATTTGCTAAGTTTATTAATATTAATATTTCATATTTATAAAAAAAAGTCACTTCTTTTTGTTATATATATATATATTCTTGTGTTTATCATTAAATATTTCATAGAAAGATATTCATAAAATTCAAAGGTTTCCTTCTAAGAATACTGACTTGTGACCATCTTAATTTTTTCTACCTTAATATGATATTAAATATTAAATTTATAAATGCTCCATTACTTTGACACAAGACTTTTATTATAAACGAGAATCAATCCATACAACTATACCTATATGCATGTGTTTTGTTATAGATTTAAATAATTGTAATTCATAATAATAATAATAATAATAATAATAATAATAATAATAATAATAATAATAATAATAAAGTAACAATGTAATTAAAAAAAAAACCATTTTTAGATTAAATGAATTTTTTTTTCAGTATTAGAAGTGTTAGAAAGTGTAATTTGATTTGTTATTAATGGAATTTATCTTTAATGGAATATATTATTAAACAACAATACGAGATTTCTTTTAATAAAATAAAATCATATGATCAATTCTATAATTCTCATTTTATATTTATCGAAATGACAATTGTTTCATTTGTTGTAGTCTGATTATAAATAAGATAAAACATGCAGATCACGTTGTATAAGATGATTGTAATTTAATTAGTGATCTCATTTTTAAGTTTTAATAATATTGTCTCTCGTGAAAATTGGTATAAAAATATATAATATTGATTATTTGTTTAAAAAAGACATAAAAAATTGGTATAAACTAAAAAAAATAATACATAAAATATATAATATTTTTTTCTCATTCTTCATTTTTAAATTAATACATAAAATAGTAATTAATAATAAATAATTTTACAATAATAATAGTTTAAACACAATGAATTTTTAATGATTTATCTATACAGAATTATTTTACTTCTTTATTTAATTTTGTACATCTACACAACAGTTTTATGTTTTGACTTGTTTACTTTATTTTCGTTTTTAATGATATTTTTCCTTCCTACGTTTGGTTTTGAAATTCAAATAGAACATTAATTGCAATCCAATGCAAATTGTCAAGGGACCTACAACAGACAGGTATATGAAAACGAGTGCTGCCCTAAGCGAATCACTTACTTTTAATTTTAAGCCACTTATAGTCGGTTTTAGAGTCCAGCCAAACAACTAGTTACAGCCACCACAATAACTTTTGGCTACAATAATATATATGCCAGTTTTTTATTTTTTAAAAATTATTTTAATATATTCTTTAATATTTTCTAATTATAAAAAATGTTTAGAAACTCGAGAATATATATTTATATGATAAATTAAGAATAAATAATATGTATTCTAGCATTAAACCTTATTACATAAAACATCGGAGTCAATTATCGTATGT